AATGTTATCGTAGGTCTTCTTTGATCCGTCACAAGTGTAGCACTGCCATGGATTTAGTCAAGCAAGAAGCAGCATCCAATTCGTGGGGTAGACGGTTCCTTGAGATATGGCTCCAGCTTGTTCCAGCACCAGATACTTCTCCAACAGTCAAGAAGTCTAGCACCTGCCCGAATATTTTGAACATTTCAACTCCAAATATAAAGTTTTTATCAGCAATAAACGCAGCGTTCCAATCCATTGGGGCATCAGGATGTGTTGAAACTTCTGTCCAAGTGAGATACATAAGATCAAGCTCCCAAAGCTTTCTTACTGCTTTGTTTCTCCTGCCAATCTGACCTTCTCCTTCACACCACGAGACAGAAAGCATAAATAACCGTCCATTGCAGCATATAAGTTTAGGGTGGTATTCATGAACTCGGGGAGGGAATGGACTGGTTTGGATTCTAACCCAATAGCCCTTCTCAATGTCATATGCTGCTACCTTATCACTTTCTGAATAAACATAAAACATCCCATTGCACACAACCCCCGAACAAGCTACTCCAAAATCTACAGGCAGCCTCTGGATCTCTGTCCATTTATTTGACATGGAATCATAAATTTCCCCAGAATCCAGAGGCTCATCCCAGCATCCAAGACCCCCTACAGCAAACAAGAGAAAGCGTCTTTGATCTTTATTTGAATGTTCGCCTTTTTGTTTGACAAACTTGTACGGTTTCACACTTGGCAAGGACGTAAGCTCGTTCTCATCCAGAGAATATCGAAATTGGCGTCTAACTGAAAGTCTATGAGGATCCTCATAAACATCAGATACCCCACCAACTCTTGGACGGTAAAATCTTCTGTCTCCTCGAGTTTGTTGATTCCTAATAATTAAACAATCTGAACTGATCTCATAAGCTCCTAAAATAGGGGATGATCTTGCATGCTTCATTGGTGCAGCTTTACGCCACGTTCTCATCAAGGGACTAAAAACGAGCACGCTTTTATGTGTCTTGAATGAGCTCTTATCAACTTTCCCAAAGTTAGTAAGGCTAGAACAGCCTCCAACAACATAAACATCATCATGGATACCGGCAACAGAAAATAAAAACCTTCCTTTCAGAATTTCAGAGTTAATTTTGTGCCATTGGTTGAAGGAAACATCCATTGCATGTATTTCTGCAGAACAACAACCGTCTTTTACAACCCCAAAGAGAAAAACCCATGGATTCTGAAACGAACCTTCTTGCCTCATTCGCCAGAAACGAGGCGTCATTGTCAAGTTTCTCCATTTCTTGCACACCAGCCTAGCATTCATGACACTTATAAAAGGAAGCCTTAATAAGCACATTTCAAGAATGTCATCCGGCAAAAACACATTCATGCTTTTGTTCTGTAGTGCTGCTTCAAGTTCTAGAGATTTCCTATTAGTCCTCCTCCAGAATTTTTCCCTCATGCCATAAGCGAAGCAATCTACTGTGGTTTCTTCATTTCCACATATTGGAGCATAGCCTTTGCCTTCCTCACTTGCATTTGACCTTCTTCTACCACATGAATCCCATAACTCATCGCCAGGCGGGCTTTAACCCATTCATCATCATCAATCTCTGCCTCAGCGATGATCCGGAGGGACGGGATTTCGACTTCTGCAGGTATTACTGCTTCGGTTTCATACACCAATGAATAGGGAGTCGCTCCTACTGAAGTACGGACAGTAGTGCGATAGCCTAACAAGGCAAAAGGTAGTTTTTCATGCCATTGCCTTGACCCTTTGACCATTTTCCGAAGTATTTTCTTGATATTCTTGTTAGCTGCTTCGACTGCCCCATTTGCCTTAGGGCGATATGGGGTAGAATTGCGGTGCATGATCTTAAACTGCTGACATGTCTCGGCCATCAAATGGCTATTGAGATTGGCACCATTATCTGTGATGATTACCTTCGGGATCCCAAACCGGCATATGATATTTGAATGTACGAAATCGACAACTGCCTTCTTAGTCACAGATTTGAAGGTTTTTGCCTCCACCCATTTAGTGAAATAATCAATAGCTACCAAAATGAATCTATGCCCATTTGATGCTGCTGGCTCAATTGGTCCAATAACATCCATTCCCCAGGCAACGAACGGCCATGGTGCCGACATTGTATGCAATTCAGAGGGCGGAGAATGAATCAAATCTCCATGTATCTGACATTGATGACATTTGCGCACGAAACTGATGCAATCCCGTTCCATAGTAAGCCAATAATAACCTGCTCGGAGGATCTTCTTTGCCAATACATATCCACTCATATGAGGTCCGCAAACTCCCGCATGTACCTCAGCCATGATAACTGTAGCCTGTCTGGCATCTATGCATCTCAACAACCCCAGATCTGGAGTTCTCTTGTACAACACTCCTCCACTGAAGAAAAATCCGCTTGCCAAGCGTCGAACTGCTCTCTTTTGATCCCCGGTAGCCTGTGTCGGGTATACTCCCACCCGGAGATGTTCTTTTATGTCATGGAACCATGGCTCACCATCAAATTCTTCCTCCACCACGTTACAATAGGCATGCTGATCTCGAACCTGAATATGTAATGGATCCATGTAAGCCTTGTCCGGATGATGCAACATTGATGCCAAGGTGGCCAAAGCGTCGGCAACCTCATTGTGCATTCTTGGAATGTGTTTGAAATCTATTGATTGAAACCGTTGACGAAGTTCATGCAAACACTGCCGGTATGGTATGAGCTTCAAATCTCGTGTCTCCCACTCTCCCTGAATCTGGTGTACAAGAAGATCCGAGTCACCCATGACCAAGATTTCCTGGACACCCATGTCTATAGCCAATCTCAGTCCCAGGATACAGGCTTCGTACTCAGCCATGTTATTGGTGCAAAAGAAACGAAGTTGAGCAGTGACAGGGTAGTGCTGCCCTGTCTCAGAAATCAGTACTGCTCCTATTCCGACACCCTTGGCATTGGCAGCTCCATCAAAGAACAGTTTCCATCCAGGCTTCTCGACCTGTTCTAATTCTTCAACATGCATTACCTCCTCGTCCGGGAAGTATGTTTTCAAAGGCTCATATTCGTCATCAACGGGATTTTCAGCTAGATGATCAGCCAGTGCTTGTGCTTTCATAGCGGTCCGAGTCACGTAGACAATATCAAACTCTGTAAGCAGGATTTGCCATTTCGCCAGTCTCCCTGTAGGCATAGGCTTTTGAAAAATATACTTCAATGGGTCCAACCGAGAGATGAGATAGGTAGTATATGCTGACAAGTAATGTTTCAACTTTTGCGCTACCCAGGTTAAAGCACAACACGTCCTCTCGAGTTGAGTGTATTTTACCTCATATGATGTGAACTTCTTGCTGAGGTAGTAAATCGCCTGCTCTTTCCTTCCTGTGATGTCATGCTGCCCCAGTACACAACCAAACGAATTGTCTAACACAGTCAGGTAAAGGATCAAGGGCCTTCCTGGCTCTGGCGGGACCAACACTGGTGGACTAGCCAAATACTTCTTGATCTTATCAAATGCTGCTTGACATTCGTCCGTCCATCTGACCGCAGCATCTTTCTTTAGCAACTTGAAAATGGGTTCACAAGTAGTTGTAAGCTGGGCAATGAACCTGCTGACGTAATTCAACCTGCCAAGCAAACTCATCACATCTTTCTTGCTCCTAGGCGGCAGTAGCCCTTGGATGGCTTTGATCTTAGACGGGTCTAATTCGATACCGCGCCGACTTACCACGAATCCAAATAACTTCCCTGATGGAACTCCAAATGCACATTTTGCTGGATTAAGCTTGAGGTTGTACCTGCGGAGTCTCTGGAAGAACTTCCTCAAATCCATAACATGGTCATATTGTTTCCTCGACTTTATGATCACGTCGTCCACATAGACCTCGATTTCCTGATGTATCATGTCATGGAACATGGTAGTCATTGCCCTCATATACGTTGCCCCTGCATTCTTCAACCCGAATGGCATGACCCTGTAACAATACGTTCCCCAAGGCGTGATGAATGTTGTCTTTTCCGCATCCTCCTCATCCATCAAAATCTGGTGATAGCCCGCGTAACAATCCACAAAGGAAGCAATCTCATGTTTGGCACAATTGTCAATCAATATATGGATGTTTGGAAGTGGGAAGTTGTCCTCCGGACTCGCCTTATTGAGATCACGGTAATCAACACACACTCTGGTCTTCCCATCCTTCTTTGGTACAGGCACCACATTAGCTAACCAGGTAGGATATCGAGTAACTCGTATGACCTTCGCCTCAAGCTGCTTGGTAACCTCTTCTTTGATTTTCACACTGATATCTGTTTTAAATTTCCTCAACTTCTGCTTGACAAGCGAGCATTCCGAATGAACGGGCAATTTGTGGACCACCAAATCGGTACTTAAACCTGGCATGTCATCATACGACCATGCGAAAATGTCTTTGTATTCAAGCAACAATTTAATTATCTCCTCCCTGAGCGGGGCTTCCAAATGGACACTTATTTTTGTTTAACATTCTCCCGATCCCCTAGATTGATTGCCTCTGTGTCATTCAAGTTAGGCTTGGGTTTTTCCTCAAATTGATTTAACTCTTTACTGATTTCTTCCAAAGCTTCCTCGTCATCGTATTCCCTCTCGCCATCACACTCAATTTCCTGTATTACTATTTCACATTGATTATCAAGACTAGGCCGGAGATTCCTCATGCATGACACATCATTGAAACCAGCATAAAAGGGACTGTACAAGAGAGAAAAGAAAACAAAATAAAGGCGATCAGGAAAGAAGAAAGGAGGACATTGCATTTCATTAGAATTGTAAGATAACAAGGTTTAACTCATCCAAATGGACGGAACATAGAAATCTGAATTACAACCCTGGAAATAATCCAGATTTAGTACTCAAAGAAAAATCAAAACTAACTACCAGACCTCTTCCGAATTGGAAGAGGAGTAGCTTCCCAGTTATTGAGCTTAGCCTGAGATCCCACGAACTGCACATCAACTTTACTCGGACCTTCGCCGGGTTCCACCATATTCACTTCATCGAACACCCTTTCGAACCTTGCGATCATCTCCTTGTCAGGTTCTATCACCACAGAATTTGGCATTGCTGTTGCTGGGCGTCGTTTAGTACCAGGCCGGACGAAGGAACTGGAAAGGCGAGGAATAGGTTTTGGAAGGGTCCACACTCTCTTCTTCATCTTTTTGGCTCTCCTTATGTCAGCAGAAGTGGGTTTGAAACCTAGCCCAAAAGTGTCTGGATTTCCGGGGAGAGACACCGGCTGTATGATTCCTTGCAGTGAAGCACCTAACCCCTTTCCGGGCAAGAATCCATTCCTTATCATCTCTGAAGCTACCATAACGGATGCGGCGGCTATCTTGGGCGTAGGAACACACTCCCCTTCCGGGATTTTATCAACTGGCACTGTGTCCATGACTTGGTACACCCATGGACCTTTGTCATTTTCAACTTCCTCGAAGGATGTAATAGCATTACAAGAATTGTCCTCTCCATGAACCACGATCTCCTGCCGATCCCATTCAAACTTGACCATTTGATGCAAAGTAGACGGTACTGCCTTTGCGGCATGAATCCAGGGTCGTCCCAATAAAAGATTGTAGGAAACACTGACATCGAGCACTTGAAACTCCATAGTGAATTCCACAAGT